AGGAGGTCAATTACCCATGAAAATATCTGTTTGGGGCTGAATTGTGCCCCCTCTCTCCCAATTCACTTGTTGAAGTCCTCACCCCCAGTATCTCAGAATATTATGTATTTGAAGATAGGGCCTTTAAAGAGGTAATCGAGTTAAAATGAGGGCATTAGGGTGGGCCATAATCCAATAAGACTGGTGTTCTTATAAGAAGAGATTGGAACAAACACAGAAAAAGGAACACATGAAGATACAGGGAGAAGGCTGCTGATTTTATTTTATTTTTTGCACTACTGTTATCCCCATCTTAAAACAGTGTTGACACATTGCAGGAGTTCAATAAACATTTATCCTTAAGCTAAATTAAAATCAATTAAACAAAAGATTGAATGGAAAAATCTACACGAGTTAATTTTTACCTCATGGAAAAATATGTTGCACCAAAAACTCCCTGGTCTTGGACTCCTCCATTGCTCATTAATATAACCGTCATCTTGTTTGTGGACAGGATGATGCAGCATGAGCAAGGCCCTCAGCCATGCAGGTGTCTGAAGGTAAAGATGAGAATCCCAGGAGCAGAGTAGAAGGAGCTGTGGAAGGGGCACAGAGCTGGAACTTGGGCCAAGTAAGGGGGCCTCACAGGGTTACTCCCAGTAGACTGGCATCTGGGCTGCTTTCTGCCACCATAGATACAATTTGCAGGTATGAGGGTGTGCAACCACCTGACCCAGGTGTTAGTCACAGGATGGGCACTTGGCAAAATAACTGACCTGGGTAAAAGGCCTTGAGTGTGAATTACAAAGAATTTCCCACAGAGAGAAAACAAGCCCCTGTAATCACAGAGTTCAGCTCACTGATTCTGAATACAGCTACTGCTTACCTTTTGTCATCTGGAACACATGGCCCCTGGTCCCCATCAGTCCCAGTACTCTTGACTAGTCATGCCATGTGAATTGCCAATGAGATAGCTCTTAGGATGAAAACATAATGATAATAACCAGCCCCTTTCCCTAAATGAAATGCAGCTGGATTTCTTTGCCCATCTTTCAGCTCAGAGTCAAAATCAAAGTCTCTGGATAATAGAGTTGGGGGGACTGGAAATAGGAAACGACATACCATTTCAAACGATTTCAGAAGGCGGGGGGCTGGAAAGGTGTTGGACCTGGGAGGATGGGGGCTGGAGGGAAAGATCACAGAACCAGGCCCTAGTTCCAGTCCTGCCAGTGACTTGCTAAGTGATCCAAGGGGGTCATTTGTTCTCTGAGCTTCAGTTTCCTCATCTGCCAAACAGAGGTTTTAGCTGTTTCCTCCTAGTCATCTCTAGAAAGCTGTTACTAAAACACGTTAGAAATGGTCAGGCCAATAGTTCAATGTTGGTAACACAATGTGAAATATCCTTATCAATAAATGAAATAATACTGGTCAGGGCTTACTGCTATGTCCGAATTTATTGCTCTGTTTGAATTTAGAGGCTCAGGTGGGGAAAGGTGTTACCAGATTGATAAAATTCATATTTGAGTCATTGTCCATGACATGTGCTAGCACCTAATGGGTTCTAGGCTCTCTTTTTGATACTCGGGGATCTAGAGTTCGTTCCTCATGAAACTTACACCTTGAAAAAACACACTTTAAACGTACAGAGTCATCAAGTAACTCAACAGTCAAGTAACTACAGGAGTAGAAGGAAACCAAGAGATGAAGTGGTCAGCTCTGTAAGGAAAGTCAACATAGCCTACCTCCTTAATCATGACTTACCATATTCAAGACTGTGTCCCTCAGAATTGTTACTGCTTCAATAGGAAGGAATAAAAAAGAAACCTGGAAAAATGAAACATTTTTGAGTGAGATAAAAAGCAGAAGGAAACCCACAGTTAATTTAACTCAAAGTACTGGGTTCAGTGAGTGTGAGCATAGTAGGTTCCTTTACTCAAGACAAATGTCTGTTCAGAGTTAAAGCAGGAGCTGGAAAACCTTAAGGCAAACAGGAGTCAAATTTTCAGAGAGGTACAAACAAAGGTCATGGATACAGAGGGAAAGGAGCAGTTAACATGGGGTGGGGGGCAGATGGGAATCAGTGAAAAGTTTACAGATGAGATGGCATTTTAGTGAAGCTTTGCAGGATTAGTATTTCAGCTGATAGAGGGGGGGAGAGACTGGAGAGCCATCTAGCCAAAACTCAGGCATGAAAATCCATTGGGTGTGGGGAAATGCAGTGGGGAATGAGGCTGGAAAGATAAGCTGTGATGAGATGACAGGGCCCAGTCTAGGATGACACACGTGAGGTGCCTGGGGTGCACAATTTAATGAGGCATTCACTCTCAGGGTCGGACAAGCGGGGTTGGCACAGTGGCTTTGGTCATTAAGTAGAGGGTTGATGTCAAAATTTCCCACGAGAGACTTCTGCTTCTGGTAAGATGGAGTAGATGTACCTCTCCTTATGCTTCCCACTAACTGCAACTAAAAACCCTGAACGTATAAAACAAACATAAGACTCTGACAGATAGAGAGACGAAAACAGACAAGCTTAGTAACCTTGAGAGCCAAGGAAACATGGTGGTGAGTCCCCTGGATTTTGTTTTCGCTTCATATTTCCAGACTTGGAGCCGAAGAAGCTGGCAACCTGGAAACACCAGTGGGTGCAGACAAAAAAAGCCCAACGAAAGCCTGCTGTTTCTAGCCAGAGGACCAGGAAACAGGCAGCCTAGAAAGAAGGAAATAACTGCTGTGTTCCAGCCAAATGCCACAGAAAAAACTGTGGTCCCACTTCTCCCCTTCCTGTCCTCCACAGCAGAGACTACACGCAGAAACTAGACTTCCATTATCACCAGGCTCTAAAGAGGTGTCCCAACCCTCTCTCTCCAGGTTAGTGCCCGAGAAGCCTGAGTAGACCTGAGACCTGCATCCCTTCCCAGCCCCTGTGGTGTCAGTGGAGACCTTGGGAAGTCTGGACTTCCGCCCTCATCTGGTGGAGATGAGGCACTGTTCCACCTAACTGATGCAGCGATACCAGAAGAAGCCTAGTGGAAATTCAGGACTTTATCTCCCAGCAGTAATAAAGCCACCTCCAATGTGGTGTCATTGGAGACCAAAGCGCGAGGGGTTTTTCCTTCAGTCTTTACCATAAGAACCTAATTGAGTTCCTAGAGGTAACAATCGTGAAAGTGTGCCCCCCACCACCAAAAACAAAACAAAACAAAACTGAGCCTCCAGGAGGTTTTTGGTTTTGTTTTGTTTTTTTTGTTTTGTTTGTTTTCTCTCTTAAGCTAGTCCTTATTCAGTAATTCATCAATTACTGTTTAATCGTTCCGACCCATTGCTGGCTCCAGCAGTGACTTCTCCTGGTGTACTGTATGCCATGATTCTCTGTATTCACCTGTCTCTTAACTTTTGGGGGTGGCTATTTTCCATGTGACTTCAGTTCTCTTGTTAACTTAAGACTTGTTGATTTTCAGTTTGTTCCAATTTTTTTTTCTTGTTTTGAGGATGACAGTTCCCGAGCTGTTTACATTTTGGAGTGGAAACTGGAAGGTCCATGGTTATCTTTATTTATTTTTTCTTTTGGTTCCTTAGACTGGATAATCTCAACTGACCTGTCTTCACTTTCTTCTCCCTGTTCAAATCTGTAGTTAAGCCCCTCCAGTGAATTTTTTTTTCAGTTATTGTACTTTCCAACTCCAGAATTTCCATTTGGTTCTTTTAAAAAATAATTTCTCTCTCTATTGATATTCTCAATTGGAGACATTATTCTCATACTTTCCTTTAGTTCTTTAGAAGTGGTTTACTTTGGGGATTTCCCTGGTTGTCCAGTGGTTAAGATTCCGCGCCCCCAATGCAGGGGTCCTGGGTTCGATCCCTGGTCAGGGAATTAGATCCCGCATGCCTCAGCTAAGAGCCCACATGCTACAACTAAAAGATCCTGCACACGGCAATGAAGATCCCGTGTGCTGCAACTAAGACCCAGTGCAGCCAAATAAATTAATTAATTAATATTAAAATAAAAAGAAGTGGTTTACTTTGGACATGTTTAAAATAGCTGATTTAAAGTCTTTGTCTAGTAGAGCCAACGTCTGGGCTTCTTCAGGGAAAGTTTTTTTTTTTTTTCATTAGAGTATAGTTGATGTACAGTGTTGTGTTTCAGGTGTACAGCAAAGTGAATCAGTTAGACATATACATATATCCACTCTTTTTTCTTTTCTTTTCTTTTTTTTTTAGATTTCTTTTCCCGTATAGGCCATTACAGAGTATTGAGTACAGTTCCCTGTGCTATACCACAGGTTCTTATTAGTTATCTATTTTATATAAGGTAGTGTGTATATATCAGTCCCAATCTCCCAATTTATCCCCCTCCCCCAGGGAAAGTTTTTATTGATTGCCTCCCTCCTCCCCCTTTTTATGGGCCATACTTTCTTGTTCCTTTGCATATCTTACTTTCTTTTGTTGAGAACTGCACATTTAAAATAATATAGATAATAAAGAGTTCCCTGGTGGCCTAGTGGTTAGGATTCCAGGCTTTCACTATCATAGCCTGGGTTCAGTCCCTGGTTGGGGAACTGAGATCCTGAAAGCCACACACCACGGCCAAAAAAAAGCAATAAAAAATAATATAACATGGCAACTCTAGAAATCAGGTTCTTCCCATTCTCCAAGGTTTGTTGTTGTTGTTTGTTTAGTGACTTTTCTCAACTAATTCATTGTAAAGTCTGTATTCTTTTTTTTTTTTTTTTTTTTTTGCGGTACGCGGGCCTCTCACTGTTGTGGCCTCTCCCGTTGCAGAGCACAGGCTCAGGACGCGCAGGCCCAGCGGCCGTGGCTCACGGGCCCAGCAGCTCTGCAGCATGTGGGATCTTTGCAGACCAGGGCACGAACCCGTGTCCCCTGCATCAGCAGGCGGACTCTCAATCACTGCGCCACCAGGGAAGCCCAAGTCTGTATTCTTTATTGTGTGTGGACACTGAAGTCTCTGTTGATTAGCTTAGTAGTCAGCTAATGATTGGCTACTAAGCATTTAAGATTACCTTAAATGCCTGGAACCAGTATACCTCCCAGTCTTTCATGAGGGGCTCTGTGTGCCTACTGGGGCATGCCTTCAACAGTATCAGCCAAGCAGTTGAAAACTCTGCCTTGGCCTTCACTTCCTGCTTGGGAAAAGCTTCAAGGTCAGCCAGGGTTGAATGCATAGGGCCATCTCATGTCTTTCTTGAGCATGCTCACAACCCTGCATGCACACAGCTTTATACATGTGCATGGACTTCTAGACTCCCACGGATATGTCAGAGCTGTTCAAAACCCCTGTGGACATCTAATTTACCAGCTTTTCCTTTAAGCTTTTTGGCTAGTCTGTCAGTTGCCCCAAATAATCCAATGCCTCAGAGAGCCAGGAAGTTAAAACATTTTGCCAAAAGTTTTGCCAAAAGTTCTGTGAGGAGAAGACTTCTTTGCACTGAGTGGACTCCAAGTTAGGTCAAATGCAGATAGCTTTGCAAGCAAGTGACGTCTTCCAGAAAACCAGCAGGTGAGTCAGATAATGACAGTTCTTTGGGAATGAGACTCTGAAAGGGCTCTGCCTCTATTCTGCTCCCTCTGGTGGCTGCGTTGGAATCTAGGCTGTTGAAAATAAGGCTACCATGGAGCTGGAGAGTGAATGATAGAACAGTGCCACAAAGCATGCTGTTCAATACTGAGATTCAGTTGTTCTTAAATAAATGTTTCCTGAGCTGCTGAAAGCTTATAGTTAGTATCCAGAGTCAGAAAAACCTGATTCTGTCAATTTCTTTTTTTGCCAGATTTTTCATTGCTTTTACAGAGGAGAGAATTTTCAGAGATCTTATGCCACCATTTTGGGTTATATCTCCCCTGCAGTTTGTAACCTCACCCAGGGTTTGGCCAGAGCAGCAAGGAATAACCCTTTGTAGTTAAAGTAATTCCCTCATTTAATGGAACCAGCTTTGCTGATGTGAGTACCTTGAAATCACAGAAACCCGATTTAAAACAGATACCCTCTTCAAATTGCTTTCTGAAATCTTTTTGTCTTAACTATAAATTATGATAATATTCTGAAGTCAATGAACCTATATCCAAATCCTGTTCAAAGCTACAAGTATATACTATTACATTGTGTTACTAAAACATAAAGTCTAACCAGCCTTCTATGACTGTACTTTTAGATATGAGTATTTTTAGATATTAGCCTCCCCACATCACTGTCTTTTTATTTTGTTGAAATCCCAAATTCGCTTTTTTTTCCCCCCCAAATTTGCTTTTGATTAACAGTCAAACCTTAAATGGTCCTCTGAGAGAAACAAAATCTGAAAAGGTGAGATTGAAATTAAATGATTTTAAATAGTATTTGGGCATTCACATTTCCATTGGTGCTAAAATATGTCTGAACATGGAATGGAATTCAGAACTCCATGAAAGAGAGCTGGTGTCCAAAGAGTTGATGTCACACAGCCTAAGGCCTGATAGGCACACAAGTTGGAGCTGGACAGTGGTTGTCCATTCTGGTCGCACTGGTGGAGACTGAGCTTCTAAAAGCGAGCTCTTCAAACTTATATCTCAATTACTCCTAACAAGGATAATTAGAATTTTCTTTCTCAAATTAAGGGTTTGAGAAATTCCTGATAAGATGTACTATTCCCTAAAGTTGATTTTAATTGTAATTCTTTTAAACTGTCGGCATTTATCCAGCTTTGGCGACTTAGATGCTCGTAAGTATGCTTTGGCAGTTGGATTGTTTATTCCTCTCTTCTGGCTCACTTTTCCCCAGTTTCAGGGAGTCAGATTAAACAAAATCCTTATTCCACACAAATGGGACTTCCTGGAAAGATTTAGTGTTTAGGAGGAAAAATGGCAGTTGTCAGAGGGAGAATTGAAAGCTTCCTTTTCCTGAAACACATATCACAAAATAGATTAGTATATTCTTAGTATTTTTGAACATAACATTAAAAAGAAGTCATTCCCTTATTAATTGCCATAGAAGATTTTTAAGCCTGATGTACAGGGAAGGGTTTAATTCTGACTCTGAAAGGGAACATGTATCAGGAGGCCCACGTGTTTGGGAATAAAACCATTTGCTCAAGTGCAGGCTGGTTATTTACAGCTGCACTTTACTGCATGTGAAAGAGAGAAAAAGATTCTTCCCACTTTCTTTCCTTCCTCCTCTCTGGACTTTGCATTTCAGTCCCATCTCATTTAGAAATGAACCCTTTCCCCCGTCTCTGGGCCAGCTTAGGGTCCTGGGCCCCCCCTAGGAAGACTCATTTGTTTTACACACATAAGGATCTGTGGTTTGGGTTCCTTCTTCCTCCACTGAAGGAAGCATATTGAGGTTGCTAGGTGGCTGTGGGGAGGGAAGCCACATTCACTGCTTGCCTGCACTTCTCTGCCTAGGTAAAGCTTCCCAAGCTAACACGATAATTATGTTCTGCATTGGTGGCGGTATCCTTTTGGCTGTGCTTGTGCTGATGGCTGCTGTCATCTGTCTTTACTACAAAGTAGCCAACGCATTGAAGTGAGTGATGTGGGTAAGAGTGGCTAACACTCCCTCAGATGGGATCCTGGGGTTCTGTGCTTGCGTAGGGTCATTCCTTGCCCCATGGCCGCACCCCGGGTGAGGTCAGGAACAGCGGGAGGGTTTGAGACGACAAAAGACAGTGCGTGTAGAATCTTGGTTTCTTCGCCTTCCTGTTTGGGGCTGTGAGCTCATAAGTAGAATGTTCTCAGCCAGGTGGCTCTGTGCTGCTTTGCTGTTACTTGGCCTCATTGAGTTTACCCTCAGCTGGCTAATTCCACACACTGCAGACTGAAGACTGTGTGAATGAGTCTCTCTGCCTGTGTTCACTCAGAGGACGGGCTGAGTTGATCTTCTCTTGCCTGAGTTGGGGAGCTCTCAGTGTGTCCTTGGCCTTGGGGACAGTGAGGTGGGCCTATAGGACTTTGGGGAAGCTGAGTTGTGTGAAGATCCTGGGGTTTGCCCAACAAGGGAGTGTAGATCAGAAAAGTGAGCATTAGATTTTGGGGAAAGGAACCTTTAAATATGGGAGAGATTGGTTGCCAGAAGCAGTGGTGTTCCCATTCATTAACGTTCCAAGGAGGCAGCATAAGTTGTTGAACAGAGTCCTGCATCAAGCTTTCAATGACCTGCCTTTTATTTACAGCTCCTCCTCTGCTTGTATGTGTTTGATCAAGGCACTGTGTTTCTCCATGTCTCAGATTCCTTATCTAATAATGGAGAGAAAAAACAAACAAAAAAGAAGCAGTGGTTTTCCCATTCTAGGGAAGTTAGGCCTGTGTGCTGGAAGGTGAATCCCAGCACCCAGGGGACGGCTGACTTTGGCACCTGTCATGCTCTGCACTTGGAGGGCTTGCAATGATCATCTGGGTGACCCACACTTGCAGTTCACTCTCCCTTATTTGCTGTAACCTGATTTTACATTTCTGGCAATCTTAGGAGAGAAAGGGATTAGACAGGAACTTGGGACGGGGGCAGACCACTTTAGTCTTGGGCTGGTGTCATGTGTTTGATTGGCTCCAGTCCTAAGCTTCTGAGATACCTCTGACAAGTTGTAACAAATGGACTGAGAAGAAAAATTCTAATCCTTTGTTCTGTGTATGTCTTTTCTTTAGAGTTCCAAAGGTACCTATTGGTTCAGCCTTAAAAGATAATCCAGCCATGGTCACCCAGGACAAGGTCACTGCGGCCATCACCACTGGGTCTTATCCCAACCTCCAATGCTGTGATGAATGTAACTTGTATGCTGGCTTTGAAGCCCTGCCACCGTGCTTCTGTGATGCAAACGAGGGACTCTGACTTGGGTGGGCACAAATATCTTTGTGAGCAATATTTATTAGTAGAATGTTTTATTATTCAAGTCAAGTTTTATACTGTTTACATTATATCATGTACTATGTAACATATTTATGTGCTTTTGAATAACTGAAATATTGAAAATAATCCTGTCTGCCTCCAGTATTGTTGTTGTTAGTTATAAAAGTACTTACATTTGTGTAGTACCCACTTTGGGACTTGGGGCAACTAGCTTATAAAGTTATACTGCAATATAAGGAGAGTTAGAGTAGAAAATACACCTATATATCCAACCCCAGAAAAAAAATATTGACCGTAGAGTGTTTCTAGTTTCAGACCCTGCTAAACTTCCCACGGTCGGCCCTCCTCCTTCTAAGGGCTTCATTCACTCTCATCCAGCTACTCTACCACGGGCAGTTGTTACACTGCCCTGGAGGGAAACTCCATTCATCCCAGAGGGAGAACAGCCAGATGGGCTACCTCTGGGTTGAGGTTGCCTGATATGTGCAGTCATGGGGTTGAGCTCTGTGGTGTCAAAAGGACATTTTAAAAACCCGAGATTCCTCCTCCTGCTATCTTCCAAATCTTCAGAAGCAGATTTTTTTCTTCTTTTTGGATCACTTTAACACTGATTATTGCTGACTCAGCTGTCAGTGTCTTTAACTGCAAACAGGAACCTCCTGCTGA